CACCAGCCCCCCGGCAGCCACCCCCCCTGGTGGACGTTCGTATGATCGACTTCGCCCACTCCACCTTTAAGGGTTTCCGCGGCGACACGGCGGTGCACGACGGGACGGACCGGGGCTACGTGTTCGGACTGGAGAGCCTGGTCAAGATCCTGGAGAGCCTGCAGGACGATAACCTGCCGTAGCTCCCAACACACAGACACACACAGACACACACACACAGACACACACACACAGACACACACAGACACACACAGACACACACAGACACACACACACACACACACACACAGACACACACAGACACACACAGACAGACACACACACACACACACACACACACACACACACACACACACACACACACTTGTTGTGAGTTAGTTCAGGTCGTGTGGTCGTGTTTTCTAGAGAACTGAATTGGTTTCGCTGTAAATATGGAGTGAGGTTCTTGAGGGCGTCACCATGGCAACGCGGGCATTCTACAGTTGAGTAGTTACTATAGCAACAGCCAGGAGGCGGGACAGTGGAGCCAAAATGGCTGCAACCTAAAGTTCATATGAAGAAACCTTTGCAAAACACACACCTTTGTACTTCTACACTTGTGAGGACCTACATTGGCATAATGCATTTCGTTTTACATAACCTACAGTTCAACCGAAAATCTACCAAATTTTCCTTCTCAGCCACACTGCTTTTTTTCTATCTTGATTGTTTTGGTTTAAGTAGCCGAGTTATGGAGATATCGTTGGGAAGATGTCTGCCTTATCTCCAATGTAATGGAACTACATGGCCTGTGGTGCTAAAAGTGTCTCTTTTCACTAATCATATAGTTTCATCTAGGTACCTTTTCTTTCTACCGAAGTACTCCTGGCAACCCTCATCCTTTATTAGATACATGCCTCAACTATACGATGAGAGGCTTGTGCGATGATACAGTTGGCGGATGTAGTTTGGTAAAAACAAATTAGTTCCTACATTAAACTGCTATCAACATGGTCTTTGGATTATCTTGAGGATCATGAGTTTTCAAATATATTTTTGGCACTTTTAATGCCATTTAGTTTCATTACACTGGAGAGTAGGCAGACATCTCTCACGCTCCAACACCAAAACAATCTGCATTGATTTATAGCAACACCTGAGACTTGTTAGAGTCCCCTTGCACTCGCAAATGTGTTTCTCTTCTTCACCGTGAGTTTCTTGCTTCACTGTGAGGATTATATATGTGTTTGACACCAGAGGGATATTTTAACATATATCTGTAACAGAAGGAAGGTTGCTCTGTGCTTTCCTTAAATCTGAGTTTTAAGATGTGTACATGTGAGTTTCTCAACTGGTTCGGAGCCAGTCCTGATTCAATAAAAGGGACAAGTAGTAGATGTAGGTCACTGAATTTTAATGAGGCCTTTTTTGTAGAAAAAACACACAGAAATTATTCTTCAAAGCGGATCACTTCTATGTCTTAAAATCTGCTGTAGGGGGTCTTTAAACTACAGAAAGGAACAAAGGAGATGAAAGTGAAAAACATGCTTTCTGTGTCAAACTCACGTAGGTTATTCTGCACAGTGAGGATGAAACATCGAGTGAAATAAAAACACTGAAACACACACACAATTCAAGGGGGTTTCATAATACCACTTCACGCTTTGAAGGATGAGAGGACCATCCTAAAAACATCCTTATTCCCAAGGTTGAACATTTCAATTGGTCCTGATTAAGATATACAAACAGCTGCACTCTACACACACACACATACACACACACACACACACACACACACACACACACACACACACACACACACACACACACACACACGGACATCCTGGGAAAAGTTGTCTGTGGACAGAGCGTCCTCTGCACGACCAATCAGCTGCATCCCAGGGGCCGCCCACTGAACACTCTATGTCCCCCCCCCTTGCTCCTTCCCCTCACTCCCCTGACTCCTCCCCTCTTCTCACCCTTCCACTCTTCTTCGCTCCTCTTTCTCTACAGAAACCAAACCCGGACAGATGAACAGACTCTTTCAGCGTTACCTTGAAAACGCACTCCAAGCATCTGTTAAAGCAATAGATGGAGGTGATAGACTGCAATGTTTTGTTTTTTTCAGCAATGCAGAGGGCAGCATTGCCCCACAGGGAGAACGGGGATAAAGTATAAACATAGAAGTAGGCTTAAGGAAAGGGTATAGATCATTTCTTTTTTTTTAAACGCTGCGTGTCCGTTTTTGGGGCTTACGTCAAAAACGTTAGTAGTCGGTGTCCGTAAATCATCCTCTGGGTTTATTGTGTAATACTGAAAGCATAAGTGTCACTTCCCTAAATCTGGCCTGCTGATATTTTTTCTTATTCTCAACAAATCCCATTTAAAAGAAAGACTCAAACCAACAATTAAATGATCCACTTACACCAATTGTGTGTATCAAAAATCCTGATGTATCTTCTTCTTCTCTTCCATGGAGCTCCACTTTTGTCCAAAAATTATTAAAAACACACCAATAAGCCACCCTATTTCACTCTGGCCCCATGTCCTTCATTAAATACTCATTAGAGCACCAATTGTGGATAAATCTGCAGCGGAAAATAGTGCCCAACAAATGCACTGTCCTCCTGTTTGAGTAAGGTTTGCTTACAACTACAATGACCAGCTGATTTAAGAAATGACTGAGTCTTTCAAAATTGAGATTTAATCTCCTTTTTTGTATCAAATTATTTTTGGTGGTGTTTGATTTGATTGCCAAAGCAAGAGAGAATATATGGGGATGTTGTGTTTTATCATCGGCCCCTTGGGCTCAAGTGTCCCTTTCTTGACATAACAGCCTTTGGCCAAAAATATTCCCAAAATGTCCCATTAATAGTTTTAAGACTCTGTTGTGTGGATTGTTTGTTTAAATGTCCTTTATAAGCTCTAATATTCACCAAGTTTTAAGAGATGGACTAACACATTGTTGGTTTGGGTCTTTGAATGGGATATATTGACAATGAGAAAAATATAGAATAACACCAGCCTTATTCTTTAGGTTAGGCCTGTGTGATATGGTTGAATAACAAAAATATTTAAAAAATAATATTTTTCTTATATATATATATATATGTGATAAAATCACAATATTGAACAGTTGCGCAAAACCGTACGAAATAATTAAATCCATGTTCATTGTAAAGAATTGTTTTCCATAAAGAACAAAACCTCCATCTTCTTTTCCCAGGTTTTTAAATTAGAGATTGCTTGGAGTCATTAATTTGTACCACATTATTGTGTTAACATGATGTGTTTGAATCATCATGAGGAGTTTAAGTTTTTGAATCATAATGTTGCCCAGTGTACGGAAGCCCTGAGAGACAAGTGAAAACTGGTAATGTTTTTTTTTTCATCCAAATAGTTTTTATAGTAAAAACTTTTCCCCCAAGTTGATGTAAAGAAAAATTATCCTGGACAAACCTTTTTTTCTATATATCTGTTTTTAAGTATTTATTTTAAGCCTGAAGTTAAACTATTTAGAGTCATCATTTTACTCATTTGCTTCTCAAGGCTTCAGGAAAAAGTGTCAGCCACAACAACAACAAAAACCGTAATCTTTAAGTAATTGTCATCAGAATTGGGTATAGTTCATTTAAAGATATCACCATCCTCTTATCTGATTGGCTAACACCGTCTTATCAGGACCAATCACATTTGTCCATTTATGCCGGCTGTGACGCAGCGCCGCCCCCTGCTGGACAGCACCGGGAGCTGGAATAAGAGAGAGCAAATGTGAATATTTTATTTTTGGTTTATCGAGGTGATAATTTATTTTTTTATTGTACCTTTTACCCATGTGTTTGGGTAAATGTTCTGTATTTTACATGTATCCCACTTGCCACCCCACAAATGTATAAAATTTAAAGAAATTCAGAGACACAGTGTGTGAAATGTCAGAAATTCGCAGTATTATTTGAGTCCATTTTATTTGCCGCTGCAGCTTCAGACAAAAAGCGGATTGTGTTTCATGAAGAAAGCTGTCGCAGTAAATCCAGACTTCAGCACGCTCAGTGACCCCAACACTTCTGCCTGCTTGTTGCTCTGGTGTGTGTTTGTGTGTGTGTTAGAACAGGTAGACGCCATCCTTAGTATTTGGTTTGTTTCACTTCACATTTGAAGGAGCTGCATGCACATTAACGTCCTTCTGTTTGGGTCCGTTTCCAGCACAGCGTCAAAAAAGTTTGAGCATAGGCGGAGTTTGACATTTGCGCTTGGGGGGGCAAACTTTTTTACTGACGTCAGTACACAGTCCCAACTATTGCGTGGGGTGCTACGGATACAGTAGCAATAAAGCCAGCGTTCACCGCACTGAGTATGACTTTTTCCACATACGAACACAACTCGTCCCGTCATGCACGCCGTACACACACACTCATATGGAAGAGGCGGTCTCTCCCCCCAACAACAGTGCATTACATAACTGTAAAATGTAACTGTGCACATCTTATACTTATTTGATAACTACTATATCCCTTGGGTACTTGAACACGCTACAATATTATTAACCAGTGTCCTACTTAGTGCAGAAGTAGACGCCTTAAACGTCACAGAAATTGGACATTTTAAAAATCGCTGCATACTCATTAGGCCTACTGCTAATTATTGTAAAACAATAGCTGAATCACTTGTATGCAAAAAAAAAGCAAGGGAACTTGCCCTTAACCTCATACTTCACACACACACGACACAACATTCGGCTGCTCAAAAATGAAATTATTTATTTCAGATTTGTATTGTAACAATCATTATATCACATCTATTAAAATATTGATATAAAGAAATATTTGTATTGGAACAGTTTTAGACGTAGTAATGCTGTAACATATTTCAGCCACTAGGGGGGGCAATGCCCCCCCTGCCCCCCCGCAAAATCCGCCTATGAGTTTGAGTCTAAAGCAGTGACGGCCCTCATGTCCTCAGATAATCATGATGTCTCGTCATGGATATTATAGCCCCAATGCTCGATCAGTTATTTAGCAGCACTTTCTGCATCTGACATCACCCTGACAGTGCTGTTTGTTAGAACAGTGAGATTAAATCTTTCCAGAAGCTTTTGGGCTCGTGTTGTAATTTACTCACTGACACATCAAGTGAAGAAGGCTCCGGGTCAATGAGGCAAATGTTATCAGGCCGGTGTCCTCTTAATCCAACAGATTTACAAAACCTTTCATTGGCTTTATATAGTCACAAAGCTTCCAAATCAAGCATACATAAAGGAGCTCATTCCAGGATCTTCTCCAGTCT